TGTCAACTTTCCCACCACTGAACATCAGTGCCTCCAGTAATTGTGTATTACCTAACTTAGCTGCCCAATTTATGGTTTACAAAGTACTAACTGGTTTACAAAGTACACAATCACCAGTTTTTGTGTTTCCTTTACGACGGCAAGCATAAAGAGAACCCACTTAACATTTACTTTCGTAATAATCCGAACAAAAAGTATTTCAGCCCAATAATTAGGTGAAATACTAATACTGGTAACAAGTTTGTTGGTTTAACTTCAAATAAAGCTATCATAGAATAAATGAAAACAGAAGAGAAGAATGCAGAATGGTGTATGCGTAAAAGAATCAACAGAAAAAGAAGTGAAGACAATAGAACAGCACACTTATAAGGGACACAAATTAATAACTAGATAACTGCAATAATAATTAAACAATATAAACCAAGTTATTTTATTATTTGCAACAATTAACAAATTGCAGCAGCAAATTTAAGAAAAAAATTCGTGAAAAATCTACTCCGAATTGAATGGGCTGAGAATACAAGAGTTAATAAAGGAGCAACTAGAAGAGAGAATAAAATCTCTTGAAAGAAGTACGAAGGTGTTTTAAGTATACCAGTGTGGAAAGATTGAAACATATGGCAGAGTCCTGGCTACCGTTCGAGTACAAGATGTCGTTATTAGTATGTCATAACAGCAAGGGTAAAGGCCAAGGCACACATGTCTTGTACTTTATTTGTTTTAAGGTTCAAAAATGGCTAAGGATAGATACGAGAAAGTGCATGGCTACAATTATAACTTCTTTGATGGAACAAATACACAAACGAGACGAGGCCAAGGCTACTTTGATGACACTTTGATTATAACTTCCTTGATGGGGCGAATTAAGGTGCAGTCACTAGAAGGTTCAAAAATGGCTAAAGATAGATACAAGAAGGTGCATGGCTACAATTATAACCTCTTTGATGGGGCAAATTAAGGTGCGGTCACTAGAAGGTTTGAAAATGGCTGAAGGATAGATATGAGGTGGCTACAAGTATAACTTCCTCAATGAGAATATTTCAACTCACTGCAGGTCATATGTGCCCTCTGTCTCTTGCAATCCCGGTGTCGTGGACGCTGGTACTGTGGAGGATGATACAGGGGTAGACGAAGATGGGATGAAAGATGGAGGTGCCTCCCCGGTGAGCTCTGTTCGAGGATATTCCCCACCAACGAACCCAAGAATTGAAGAGCCTCCGGTGTGAGAGAAGAGGGATCTCCTAAAGTTATCGGCCCCAGGAAATAGTGGGTGGGCGTGCAGGAAATGACTCATGCAATGCTTTGAATTAGCTTAGGTGTCCCTAGTTAGCTATGTCCTCTAGTTATGTTAGGAGTCCCCTAGTTAGCTATTGTTTTAGGGTTGGGGTTAGGGTTTAGTTTTTTTTATTTTAGAGCGTTCCCTAGGTGTTAGTAGTCCCTAGTACTGCTTCTTTTCAGTCACCATCTTTTCCAATCATGTGACGTCATTTC